TCTCTTTAAAATCGCTCCTAGGCCAAGCTCTAATGGAAGGGTTATGAAAAATGGGAAAAATCCCGTTTTTTGGTCTGTTTTAATCACTGGGTGTCAGGCCTTCTTCGCATTCGTGAAGGGCCTGACGCAATCGCGAAGTAGCGGCTCAAATAGCCTACGCATTCGCGAGATACCCTTCGCGTTCGCGAAGTCTTACACCCACCAGCCTACACGTCCGCGAGCCATGTGTCGTGTTCGCGAAGAGTAAGGTCAGTTCCCCTCCCCCAGGTCCCTAAAGCTACGCGTCCGCGAGAGGCTAGTCGCGTTCGCGGAGGCTAAAACCCCCAACACTACGCGTTTGCGACCCAACCATCGCGTTCGTGGTGAAGTAAATCCCACCCAGCCCAGTTCACTCTTCGTGAGAGTGAAGAAGGAAACCAGATGACAGCTGCAGCTAATAAAAAACCAGATTTTTCTAAGTTTAAACCATCCGTAGCCTATCCGAAATTCACCCGAGCCCTCGGGGCTCCAAACCAATTATGCACATAAGTCCAAAAATGTCATATGAACTCGCTCGCGCGAATAAAACACAAAATAACGCCTGGAACTACGAATCGGACACCAAATCAATGTATTTTTCAAGAAAACTTTAAAACTTCTATTTTAACAACCGAACGTCCGAATCACGTCAAACCAACTCCGTTTCTCACCAAATTTGACAGACAAGTCATAAATATAGTAATGGACCTATACCGGGTTTCGAAACCAAATACGGACCCGGTATCAACAAAGTCAAACATCGGTCAATTCTTTAAAATCATTAAACCATTAAACTTTCAATTTTTGACAAAAAATCAATAACTCAAGCTAGGGACCTTCGAATTCGATTCCGGGCATACGCCCAGGTCCCAAATCACGATACGGAGCCGGGTCTGTTTGCTCACAACGTTGACCGAAGTCAACTCAAATGAATTTTTAAGGTAAAATTTCATATTTTATCTGTTTTTAACATAAAAGCCTTCCGAAAAAATACCTGGACTGAGTGTGGAATATATCCAAACCTTTAAATTTTCAACTTTCGCCAAATAATGCCGAAACCTTCTAGAAATATCCAAATGGAAATCCAGGCATACGCCCAAGTCCAAATTACCATCCGACCTAACGGAACCATCAATCTCCGATTTGGGGTCAAATACACAAAAGTCAAACTTGGTCAACTCTTCTAACTTAAAGCTTCCTAGTTGAGAATCATTCTTCCAAACTAGTTCTGAAACACCTGAAAACCAAAACTGACGATTCACACAAGTTATAATATATAATATGAAGCTACTCAAGACTTCAAATAGCTAAACGAAATGCAAATGCTCAAAATGATTGGTCGGGTCGTTACATACATGTGTTGATTATACTAATCCAGGTATGAGCAAGAGTAATAACATGAAGGATATCAATTGATCATGATAATATATGTACGAGGTGTATTAAGATTTTGAATTATGGTCTAAGAAGAGCCCTAAAGGCTAAGTCAAGTTGGAAACTATATGGTGGGCTAAAGTTTCAAAGGAGTTCGTACAGGATTTAACTTCAAACAAGCATAAATCTCAAGAAAGGAAGAGTTAGATAGTGTATAACCTATCCAATCAAAGGTCTACGTGTCTATTTTGTAATGATTTAAATTGTTCATCGTTTAAAGATTCCTACAAGGATTTATGACCTTTTTACTGAAGGATCGCAGAGCAACTACGCAAGTCCTGTGTAGCCAACGCAGAATGCGTAGTGTAGCGTAGGCAAATCCAGCAACTGCCAATTAAAGAGAAATGGAAGGCCACCCTGCGTAGCCTACGCAGGGGGCTACACACCCATCATGCCCACTCTTTAAAGTATTGAAACAAGGGGTTTAGAGAGAAGAAAAGTTAGTTCTTCAACTTGAAATTAATTTCTAGAGAGAAGTGTGAGCTATTCCACCATGGATACACTTCAACGTAAGTTATTTTGGTACAAGGATGATTTTATAACATCATCTAGTGATAACACTAACATTATTATGGATCAAATTTATAGAAAATGGATTGTATCTTCAAGAACACCAAAAAGAGGTTCTTCCACCAAGAGACAATATAATCCATTCACTTGAGCTTCATATATATGACATTGCAGTATTCATATATATGACATTGCAGTATGAGTGGCATGTTTATGAATATTATTTGAAATTGTAATGGGATATTATATGAATCCTAGGAAGGGTCTTGAGAATGACATTTTAGGTAAAGAAGAAGATGTATAGTGATGAATTAATTTAAATGGAATTGTTTTGAGTTTCTAATGATTCAAATATACTTGATAACTTAATTGATAAATGAATTGAATCGGGAATCACCATTTGGATAAGATACAACACTAGTTCTTGAAATGGGTGTTCTTGAACCTAGAATTTTGTTGGAGAAGGCAATGAATAGTGACTTGATGATGTTGGAAAAATAATATGGTATCACTAATGACTCCGAATGAGTATTAAATGATAAAAATGGAGTTGAATAGGCCAATGAGTGAACCAATGGGATAATCTGGGATAGTTAAAGGCTTATTGCCGAGTGGTGAAGTCTAAATGAATATTTATGAATCTTTTCGTGTTTATTTTGATGTAATCAGGATATATAATGGTAGATATTGATTTGTTGGTGATATTTGGGCATTTTAATCAATTAGAGCAGTATAGTATCATTTGAAGCTTGAAAGTTGAGGTAAGTTGATTAATACTTACTCTTCTTGAGTGATTCTCTTATAAAGCATGTCTTGAGTTGATACAGTTGTGTTATTTTTAAATGTGCATCCGTACTTATGGGGATAAGTGGGAAATATGGCACAATGTGTTTCTAAATTATTGCTTATGAAGTGTCATTTAATTTTATAAAAATCTTGTTTCAAAATTTATTGGCAAAATGTCACTTAAGGAAAATTTTATAAGTTTTATCAAAACTTATATGTTGATAAGAGTATAAATGCTTGAATGCTGAATAAATGTTTCCATGAAAAAGTTTGTCTTTTGAAATTTCAAAAAAGGAAGCACTTGTTGTATCTTTAGATTGATGTTAAATTGCTAAAGGCTTTAACATGAAAAAGGTTCTTCATTTAATTTTGTTCAAATGGTTTGGATTGGCTATGAAAATCATGATTTGATAAAAATAGATTCTTTGAGGCAAGTATGCTATGAATCTATTTTTGATATGTCAAATATTTTGGGAGTTACTAGTGGAGACCACCAATATCGGTTCAAATGTTGAGTTCGTTACCGTGCAACTACGCGTGCCGGTGTAGGGACACATTCCAAGGCTAAGCCGAGGTTTGTGGGATAAAGTCCCCCATTGAGAGGGCAAATGATCATTACTTAAAGTAATGAGGTTAAGTCGACTTGTACGGCACTACGTGAAGCCGCCAGACGAGTAGAGTCAGTTGCTAGGTTGATCGCCTAATAGTTGTTCATTATGTCGGTGTCGGTATAGTACTCCCGATGAAGGTAAAAGAGAACTTTCTTATGTTTAGGCTTGAGGAGCCGAAGATGATTACAATGACTTAATGAGATTGAAATGGTTTTATATGATTTTTATAAAAATCTTGGGTTAAGAGAGATCTTCTCAAACTTTATAGCATGGCTTATATTCCATTTGGCCTTTATTATTTAAAATGATAAAGAGGATAATTTATATAACTGTTAATCACTTTATGTCAAATATTGGTGGCATAGTTTTTGTAAAAACTTGTCACGGAAACTTTAGTTGGAGAGAGTGTATGACAATTATTGAGTATCGTTGTGGTGTACTCAGTCCTCAGGGACCCCCATCTAGGGGTCCACTTACTTTACATATTTCAGGATGAGGTATGATACGCGGCATGCTAAAAGGTCTAGGATGACTCTCTTTCCAAGGTATGTGGTGAGGCACCACTCCTATTTCGTGGTAGCTATCATGTTGTTTTATTAATTTATGTTAGTCGGGCATTAGCCAAAGTGTTTAATTCTATTCTTTGGTATAGAGCCTCCATAGATAGTTGTGAAAAGTTATAGTATTGGGGTTGTACACGACATATATGAAAAGATATTTATTTTACTTAGTCTCATCATTATGATTATGAGAGGCTTCATGTATTGTTGAATCAAAAAAGTATTTCATCATTTAACTTTAAAATATATATGATTTTCAAAGAGCTTTCGCAATTAAATTAATTTTCATGCATATGGTTTGGATGCATCATATGAGTCGGTTCGCTAATCTCTTAGTATTTTTGTCTCCACCGAGATTTGAACGTGAGACCTCATGGTTCGCTAATCTCTACCTATTTTATTGACCACTAAGCTACATCCTTGGATGCAAGGATCTCCATTAGAGGTGTCAAACGGGCCAGGTTGACCCGGGACCGGACCGGCCCAAACCGATTGAACCCCGACCCGGTACTTAAGGGCCGGGTGGGCTGGGTTACTGGGGTTAGGAGGGTTGATCCGTTCACTTTAATTCATCCGGTTAACCGGACCGGTCAACCAAAATCCCTGTAGAACCGGTTAACCGGCCCGGACCGGTTTAAAGGCTAGACTTCAATATTTTTTTTTAAGGTTTTAGAGTCTAAGGCAATGCAAAACCTTTGAATTTACTCTTTTTTCGTTAATTTACTTGTTAAATGTAAACCTTTCAATTTGTAAGTTCGAATTTTGAAATAAATGTAGCACTCGCAATTTATAAGTGCAATTTTTTTCCATCTTCATTGTATTCTTTATATTTTTACTTTCTATTAATGTAAATTACAATAGTTATACAAAATAAAAAAAATAAAAAATAAAAAACTAACCCGGCCCGGCCCGGCCCTTGGACCCGTAACCCTTACGGTTCATTTTTTACCTGGATGGACCCGGACGCGTTAAGCCCGGTAAAAACTAACCCGTAACCGGCCCGGATCGGAAACCGGCCGGTTTGATTTTTTCCCAACCCGGACCGGCCCACCCGTTTTAACACCCTTGATCTCCATTCATCTTGATCCAACAATTCACTGCTTCAACTTCAAAGTGTGGCAAAATTTCTCAAAAGAAGCAATCAAATAAGGAATTCTTTTTTTACATACACTGAAATGTCATGTTATAAATACTACCCCTTAATTCCTAAGCATGTCACTCTGATTGGTTTTTCATTTTTCCCAAGAATACATGGAAATAACCTTCATAACATTTCTGTTCAACAAATTCCAAGAAATTGGAAGGGTCCATTATCTTACCTTTCCTTCAGAGACCTGTTGTTAGACTTTCTTAACTCCCAAGATGGTAAGCACCCTTTTAAGGGTGACTGCAGAAATAACGAAGATGTCGATAACTGCCTTTGCCTTGTTGAAATTGAAGAAAGACAACTGAAAGCACTTCTCAGCCTTCTTTTCTCACTATCATATTCAGGGCCATTAGGGTCATGTTCCACCGCAGCAACTTTCAGAGCCTCGGGTAGCATGCAGTTGAATGTTGAACCTATATACACGAAAAAATAAGAGAATGAAGAATATCATTTGCAATCCTTAATACATGAGAGTACCGAATGCAATATTTTCTTTTCTGAATTTAACTTTTTTTCTCTGGTGTAGAAATTTTTACACGATCAAGAAGGCTCCAACTCGCTTCTCCAAGTTATTAACTACATACATAGTGTAAATGCTTACATGCAGTTGGATTTATGACTAAAGCTCTTTTCTTTTCTACAAGAACATTTTCAGGAGCATAGTCCCGAACTACATTCAGTGGATCACACCGATTACTGATTATCATGCATAAACATCTCAAGTAGTATTATCAAAAGGAGCTATTTTGCTTAAAACTTGGGAAGTAAAAAGAACAATTTCCACCAAATGCTATGTTCTGGGAGGTAATATCTTATACGTTTTGTGCATGACAGAGGCAAAGGAAATTGTTTCGCACTGCCCTCTACCAAGCACTGTTTAGTATAACCAGACTGATGCCTAGGGGAATCCATATTCATATTTACTGCAGTTGAGGACTTCAGAATACCAAGATGGGGAAAAGAGAATAGATGAATTCTCATCATGAAGCGCCGGAATTTATGAGTTTAGTTCTCCAAGACCAAGTCAACTGATAAATCCAAGAGCCAAATGCTTGTAGGTCCGTTATATTATTGCTAATTAAAGAGAAGTGGAATGACAGAAGATTACCTAATTTTGCAAGTCTGTTCACCCATTTTGGAATCCTTTTCCCAGTAAGCTTGTAGCATAAATCGTTGCAAAAATGGTTGCAGTTCTTCACAATCAAGTGATACGTATCACCATTATAGCTAGCAGCTTGACGTTCAATAAACTCTCTAACCTGACAGGGATCCAACTTTGTCGCCCCAATGAATATTGACTTCCTAAACTTGAACCCAGGGCACTGCCGTGGTTCAACTTCAAAGACACCACTGCTTGGATAGTCATGAGCTCCAAATGCATATTCTACACCATGAACTGTAAAGTATAGGTCGGATTAACTGAACATACAAAAATATGAGGCGCCAAATACAACTAATTCAGGCAGCAAATCAACTCACAGTTCTCTTTTTCCCATGTAAAGTTTCACATATAGTTTATTAGTTCTCATACCACTATTTAAGATGCAATGGTCAACTGTTAAATATCCCATATAATGCTTTATCCAGGGGATTAGAACCAATATAGGAATCAAAAAATAAATGCACAAAAGACTTTTCTACTACCTTCTGTAAATGAACTAATTTAGAATAACAGAAATGGGGGAAAGTAATACTCCCTCCGGTCCAAAATAAGTGATTTTTTTGGATGTTTTCACACAGATTAAGAAATCCACCTTTTACCATTAATTAGTAATAGAATTGACCATATTAACCTTTACTATCTCACATAAACACTCCTAACACATATTCCAACACTATTTACTCCAAGGACAATGTAGGAAAAAAATAATTAATTCATTCTTGAAATCTGGAAAAATCACTTATTTTGGACCACAAGAAAAAGGCCAAAAAATCACTTATTTTGGACCGGAGGGAGGATAATTCTTACACACTCCATAAGTTTCCAATCCCCCAAATTCAAGACCATTGCCTAAATGTTGGAGCCAAGATATAATTTTTCCCTTGGAAGTCATCAAAAGCTTCTCCTTAGTGGCAAAACTTATCAATATCAATACAATTTTTTTTTTTTTTTTGATAAATAATCAATACCAATACAATCTAGCACCATGAAACAGAAGAAAGAAACTGAGATGACCGTAGAAATCAAGGAAGACAACATGCATTTAGACTTGTTAAGTTGTTTAACGACAATATGATAGTTTCTGCTGCATTTATGATTCAGTTCAGAGGAATCTCTCTTGAGAGAAAAAAAAGTAAAACGTCCTTTTGAAGTTCATCTCTCAAACCATTACAACTTTAAGAGAATTTTGACAATTCCTTGGACGCGACTCAAAGAACTTGCAGAAAATGTAAACAGGTTACAACAAGCAGTTAGGGG